ATTAAGAGAATTATTTTAATTAAGTGATTATTTAAAAATATATAATTTTTTTAATATTAATTAATATAAAAAAATATAATAATTACACTATTAATTTATATTTTAAAAATAATTTAATATATATAACTATTAAATTATATAAAATATTAATTAAAATTAATTTAATTATAAAAAATAATAAAAAATATTTTAATTTATATTTTAAAAATAATTTAATTTAATTTTTTAAATAAAAATTTTAATATATATATTTAAAATTGTAAAATATAAGGCAAATGTATATTATTCACATTTTAGTTTAATAGGTTGAATTATTTGTTGGACTACATTTATGTCCAACTAAGCAATTTTTGCACAATTGTATTTGCCACGTCATATTAAAATATAAAAACTCTAATTTTCTGTCAAGTTAAGGGGTGACACTAGTGAACTTTTAACGGAGGGACAAAAATTGACCAAACTTAAAATTTTAGGGACTAAATTAGAAATTATTTTAGTTTAGGGACTAACTCAGGGTTACATGCATTTTGAGAGACCAAATTTACGGATTTAACTTTGTTATCGTTATTATTATTATTCGAGATTATACAATAAAAAATAATTTTTATTTTTTAACTCATTTCACCTATATATGATAAGATTTGAATTCAAACTCCTTTTTTTCATTGAAAGTAAATTATCATTAAACTATTTACATTGTTGATAAAAAAAAATTTATTTAAAATGAGTCTTTAACAGAGAGCATACAAAAAATATGATTCACGCTTGTGAAATTAATAAAATATCTTAATAAATTTATAAGTATGTTATTAAGAGAATTATTTTAATTAATCTTACCATCTAAACCATACTCTAGACTTGAAGATATAGTATATAATTTGGATTGAAGATTTATTATTATTATTATTAATTATTTATGTAATGGAATGAGTCGAATGCAATTTATAGTACTGTAGAGTTGAAGATAGTATTTATAAAATAATACAATTTATAATATTGTAGAGTTGATGTCATTTACAATCATTTAATTAAGAAATATATATATATATATATCCAAGAAATTTGTTTTTATATTGGATTTAATTTAATTTAATTTAAGAGACACTTTCCATGGGGCAGCATTGTGTTAGGTGTTGGAGAGTGGACAATTTTGTTGAATAGTTGATATTGTCCTAACCCCACAATGAGTCACATTCCCATAGCCTTGTTGCTATTACACGATTCCATTTCATCTCAACTCCAATGAATGTGACAAGGAAAGAACACAGACAAAGCCTACAATCTGCTTATGTGTTGCGTTTGCACCCCACTTGGCGTGCTACGTACCATGCTACCCCTAGCCCTAAAATCCCAATCCTATGATCTAAAGATTCCAAAAATTGACTCTCAAATAATAACTTATCCGTGAATCAAGGTTTGGTTTAATTATAGGTTTTTTTTTCAAACAAAAAAAAAAAAAGGAGAAAAATCTATAATACCAAACTAATCGGTAATATTATCACTTGTTTTTTTAAATAAATATTTAGTAGTACAAAACAATTATATTTTATAATCCAATATAATTAAAATTATAAATTCTCTTCATAAGTGTTTAGAAGATAATAGTCATTAAAATCATGGATTAATAAATACATAGGTCCTCATAGTTGTCTAGGCGTAAGTCATTAGAACCATGGATTCCTTATCACAAAATGAAGACCTTACGTAAAAGTAAACAACCGATATGGCTAGATTAGACCAAAGACAAGGTGGGGGTTGCAACTCAATTAGACCCAAATGTAACTTGACCAAATAAATCAAGGAATTAAGGCACCTTCGTGCTTACAATCAAGAGATTTATTATCATCATTATTGTATATAGATTTTTTCTTGAGGAAATTAAATGCAAAAGCAACATGTACCATACATGTCTGAGTACGTGTGCACATTAACAATAGAGACGTATATTGACTAATTCATATATTTAGCAAGATTTGTTGCATTCACGACGATCCTTCTAGTTGCACCATAGCCATATTAAAGTGGCCGGATCCGTAAGATTTGTGTGAGCTGATACAAGATATATGTTGTTAGGTGTGAAAAATAACTCTATTGGTGAGATTAATTTGAGTGTACAATAAAACGATGCTTTCTCTAACTCCATAAATAATATAATATATATTATATTATTAAATTAATTAATATATAATATTATAAATCTAAATTTTTTAAAAATAATTATTAAATAATATTAAATTTATTTTTATTATTTTAATTAATATAATTTATTTCATCTTATTAATTTTCAAATTTTGACCACATTTATATTAATCCGACGTATAGATCCCGTGATTGATAATGCATAGGTTAAATCCCGATTCAGTCCCTCAACTTTCATTTTTGAACTAAATTTACCCTCAAACTTCAAAAAGTACTTAAAAAATCCTTGAACTTCAATTTTCAAGACCAATTTCATCATTTCGTTAACGGAAATGCCAGATAGC